ATCTAATTTGAACCAGTGCTGCATTCAACATACCACATGACACACAAAAATCGATGTTTAACTGTGTTTTTAATATTTACTTTTAAATTAAGAAATTGAGTAATGTATAATACGAAAAGTTGAATTATAATTAAGTTTGATACCAAAGTTATTGACATAAATTCATGAAATAATACTTCAATAAAATTTTGAATGTGAGTCAACGAACGCAATGACATGGCCATTCACCCGTAACCCGTCCGGCTGTTCAAGTCAGAAGATTACATAAGACAAAATAATGAAAGAATTATATCTTATGCTTTTTATCAAACTATGGTCCAGTGAAGTATTCCACTATTCTAGATTAACCTGTGTTAGTGATCATTCTCTTTATACTTAAGAGAGACTAACTCCTAGCTCATACCATCCTTACAAGCCTTTGCACCATTTCAACATTTGAGTATAATTCACATCCAAGGCGAGAGACGAAACAGAAGGTTGGGCAAGCAAGTGCATGGTTTCTTGAATGAACGCTTTGACTGACATATAACCTATATCTGAAATGGTGATTAGAGCAAGATAAAGCTGACAGTCTCCTGTCTGTGAGCATGTTAACTATCAAGAACATTTGCATGAATATTGTTGAACAATATACCTGAATAAAGATGCATTCAATTTCTGAGTAGTTACAGAAGGGTAAATTCTCACCCGTTATATTTCTGTTTCTATTTAAATTATTTCTCGATTTAAAAATAATTCTACATTAGGTTACAGAAAAATGGTGTATTTTTTTTTTTCATTACATGGAAAGCAATAGTGTGGTCTCCATTTTGCAGGCACTAATACATGTAAACATTGCTTTATTAGTATCTTAAGCAACACAGTATACTTGAACGTTCACATTTGGTTTCTATGCTGAAGTCTTTTTCAAAGACCAGAAACAAGGTAGGAGCAGTCAGTTATAAATTTCAACCCAATAACTCATGTAAATGCTAATACAATAAACCATATTAAATATGCTCAAATGATTTTTCTTTTCAGTCCACATTAGTATCAGAACTAGATATCAATAAAAATAGAATTTCTATGAAAAAATCTTGGTAGCTTGTAATTATGTTTATAAAATCACTGAATCTGAACATGGTAACAAAATTACTATGCAGTAATGAAACACAAGAAAAATATTTTACAAAAATGCAGAAACTAAAGTTTAGACCTATAATTTTTTGTGAAATAATGTGTTTTTTTGTTTAAAGTAAGAGACTTTTAGGCTTTTGTGTTTTTTTTATCAATTTATTCTGAATTAATATGCATGATATATATATATTGGTCAAGCTCTAACAACAATTAAACATGTTTTCATTATAGCTATAAAACATTAGTACATGTATGTTAAGTTAAAGTGATTAAAAAAAACTAATCCGGCAGGAACTCTTAACTCTGACTTTGAGTTTTACTTTTGTTCTTCACTTTCTGATTCCAGTGTTGACTGTTTTCATTATTGACAGGTAACATAGCTGTCCACCTCTTATGCGCATGGATTAGGGAAAAAATTAAAAAGCCAGGGTCAAGGGGAAGACTTGGTGGGGGCCCAGGGAGACGAAGACCTCCACCAAAAACATATTTTGCATTTTTAGAGTTTGAGTTAATGTGCCTTTCAACATCACACAGTCCTTAGTGCTTGCATCTGACAGAATGGTTACACACTGTGCATCAAAGATAATTTTGACTGGATGATTCATGCATGATGCATGAGTACTTCTTTGTCCATTCTGGATTGAACTTAGTATTATATTTTGCAGGAACTTGATATTTTGTCAGTTTGGGTTGTTTGATATTGATGGACTGTCAGATACCAAGCTGCTTTCACTCATCATGTTTACTAGATTGACCATAAATGGCATGCAGTTGATTTTATGTGACAGCTCATTTTATTGGTTATCAGGCAAACAAAGAACTAATCACTGGACAAGATACACACGTGTAACAACTTTCTATTTTAGACTAGTCCTTTATCCTCGCTGCCCATTGTGCATAGTTAAAGTAAAGGACTAAGACCATTCTAACAGTTTTGTGAAGAGAATTGCATGTTTAATATCATATGATGAAAAAAAATTAAACAATGATAATCATGAGTTTTTAGCAGCCAGGCATGAAAGCATGATCTCACACAAGCTGACAGGTATGAGGTAATATGATGTGATTCTGATTGACATTGTTTCACGACTAGTGGGTAGTGTTGTGACTGGTACATTAGCACCTGATGATGAGTGAGTGATGTATGAATATTTATTCTAATTCACAATGTCTTGTGATTAATGAATTATATATATATTGTGATTCAGATTTGCATGTTTAAATATAAGCTGGTAATAGACTAGTTTATTACTGATTTTTTTTTTATGGTTGAATAGCTTTTTAATTGGTCATTTTCTTTAAATGTTTATATGTGAATATATTATCAAGGAAAAAATAATTAACGTGTTACTATGATCTGCTCGTGCATGTGTGTGCCTCATGAAACATTTATTTTACCTAATCTAATCTTAATTAACCTAAAAGGATCCCTATTTTTACATTTTAATTACTTCTACAAATATGCATAAAGAATAAACATGAAAAACAATAAATAAAATGCTTAACCAATCTTCTTTTTTTCTTGCTGTTGATTGTCGAAGAGAGTTAATCCTAATTTTTTTTATACTAATGATAATAATACACTTAATAATTTTTATTTTATTAAATAATGCACCAAACATTATAGACTAATAACATGAAAAAGTAGCAAAACCTCTCAAAATTTTTCTGGCTTTCTAACTATGGGACAAGAGTTGTTACAAATTCATTCAAGCTAGTGGTTAACTTTCTCATGGGAAAGATGTTGATACTCTGAGTGAAATTGATGTTTAACTGTTCAGAACATAATGTTATACAATACATCATTTGATAGATTAAAACCTTGACTTTCTATTGATTATAGGTAATATATAATTAAATGTAAGAGAGGACTATTAACAAATCATGAAAGAGAGAGGATGTGACAGAGAGGTTTGATTTTCTATTTGATAGCTTTTTAACTTTTTTTTCAAGTAGAATTGAAGACTATAAAGCATATGGTTTGTCGGAATAATGACAATTTTATAGTGAGTAATTTGTATTTAATTTTGTACATTTACAAGGGGTGGTGGTGGATAAAATAGAGGAGACAAGATGCTTAGAGAAAATGTTATGACGATGTTATAGAGAGTAATTGATGTTTAATTCCTTACTTTTTTGATGGGTGGTGGATAAAATAGGAACAATGACATGCTAAGAGAAAATGTATCACGTGGGTCGCACTGTGGGGAATTCAGGATTTTTTTAAATATTGAACTTAAAACTTGTATACCATTAAAATATAGATTATTAGCTAAGATTTTATGCTATTCTAATGGGTATAACGTAGACAGAAAGTAGTTTAATAAAGTTTTGAATGTAAGACACTAAAACTTTTTGTCGTGCTCAATAAAAAATACCCGTGGCAATAGGGTTAAAATAAGAATATAGCATTTTGTAAGATGTACCTGCTTGTATTGTTATGTTAAACCTTGCAATGTATTTTTGACACACACACATATATATATATATATATATATATATAATTATTTTTCTGTAGATGGCTTTGATATTCAGTGAAAAGGGTTTGAAAGACATCAATCCTCCTTGTGTGGCCCAAACTTTCATCAATCACAATGCTGCTCTTTTTAAAATATTTATCATTGGGAAAAAATATTTTGTTATTGAGCGTCCGTCTTTGAAGAATTTTTATCCTGGTGGTAAGCAAAATATTTATCAACTATTTAACATTTGAAATTCCCAATACATAAACAAATTAAAGTACAGGACAAGAAGCTAAAGGAAATATACACAAAACTTACTTTAGGCATGATTCATTTCAAATCCTCATTAAGAGTTTTGATGTTCAATTAAAAAACAAGCTTACTAAGCACTAAATTGGAGAGGTTAACTACCCATTTAAAAGATTTAAACATAGAAATGTGTTCTTTGCTCATAAATGCTACCAGTCACATTTGTTAACTATAACTGATTTACCAGAACACCTTATCCAATTGGTTCCCAACTAGAAATTGGTTTGTTAAAACATTTTAAAATATAAAAGAAGCTTAAAAAAAGAGGGTTTAGGTCAAAATATATTTACGTTTGAACAGATAAACTATTGAAGTATATAGTATTCTAAGTGGCAGAGTATAACCTGAATTTTTCTTATGAACTTTTGCTATGTTAGGTCAGTCACACACTAGTACACATCTAATTTACTTTACTTGTATGTATTAGGAAGTTTAAAAGATTACAAAGTGCAGTGTAGTATAAGGTTGCTAAAAATGTTCATACAGTTATAACTGGTTGTTAACAACAACTGTAATTTTCTTAATATATATATTTACATGAAAATGATATGATGGTTGATAGCTGTGCTAGAATTGTGAAGAAAGATTATGACCAAATAGGGATGATGCTTTTGGTAGAAAAGTTGTTTGTTAATTGAAAACATGATAACTGTACATGAAAGTTGCATTTCATTATATATACATGTAATATGTATATTTTTCCAGTTTGCTGAATAAAAACCTATGAGAAAATAAATTATTGCACTTAACAAGAGATATTAACTCCAGTTTTTATGAGTGATTTGTTCACACCAAATAGAAAAACAATATTATTTCTGATTAAAGTGAATGTACTAAAATTGCATTATTTGCTTTTTGTAATGAGACATAATCTAGCTTTTGTAGACTGAGACTGCTAGAAACATTTGTACATATGGTAATTTTATAGCTTAGCCTAAAACT